CTCGCCCTCCAGCTATAACAGGTCTATTACCATTATTTCAAGAAAATGCCCACACACCTGCTATGATTCAACATTCAATGAAAGTGATAGCTCAAGGTACACAATACTTGAATCCAGGACAAACACCTATTATATGTATGGATCAGCCACTATTTGCCTTAGCCAAGCAAATTCAGTGGAATAGTCCAAACCTGTATAGGGAGGAAAAGTATTTAGTAATKATGGGCGGATTGCATATTGAAATGRCATCACTGWAAATGTTGGGACACTGSTTAAGAAACAGTAGCTGGGATGCCGCTCTAGTCCAAGCAGATGTAACAACACCAGGAAGAGCAGATGCTATCCTGAAGGGTTCTCACATCACAAGAGSAAGATAYGTACATCAAATTAGTGCATGTGCACTGTTCGTCTTACAGAAAGCTGCATACCAAGCATATCTAAATAGCTGTSGATATCAAGTACCGCTAGATTCCACCAACTGGATCAAGASAGAAAGCGAAAAGCACGCACAGTTTCTTGATTGGGCGACAGTACTCGACYTAGAATTGCTGGTCCTAGAATATGTACRGTCTGTTAGAGAGGGCAAATTTGCCTTGTATGTCCAGATCCTTGGTAAGCTACTTCCATGGTTCTTTGCGCTTGATTTGATAAATTACTCTAGGTGGCTTCCAGTTCATTTAATTAAGGTAATGTGTTTTTTAAGGTTTTCCTAATGGACATATTTGCACTTGTAATTGTAATAACTATATTTTTTCAGAGATCTAATGGCACTTCAAGAAAGGCATCCGAACATCCACAGAAAGTTCACAGCAGGGAAGTTTGTTGTTCAAAAAACAAAGAATGCTTTCTCTGTGATTCTGATTCATTAGTTAAAGCCAATCTGAAAACTCTCGAGCAAAGGCGCAATGAGAAGTGTAAGGAATTCGTTTGGGACATCAGAGTCAAACCAGACAGATCGAGTTGTAACCTCTTGTCATGGCATGTCTTTAAGATCTGGAAATAATCTTCGCCCCAATCGTGTACAAACTAATTGGCCCCCAAAATTTTGTAATTGTAATTGTAATTGTAATTGTAATTGTAAGTGTTTTTGTCCTTTTCCAATTATTTACCAAGCCTGTAATTCATTATCATCATTACTGCTAGTGGCCTTAAGACACAGTATTATTATTATTATTATTGCCCTTGATCAAAATCACGAACAGCAGAATGAAATCATCAAAGGAGATGGAGGGGCTGTGGGGCTCACAGAAAGTGCTACTGCATTGCGACGCTGGATGGTGGTAGGGCCTACCACCATCTAAGTACCTAGAGTTGTCCAAGAGTTTGAGTCAACCTTTATTCTGTCAAGGAAAGACAAAACTCTCCACCACGAGCAAGTAGCACATGTTCAAAATGCCTTTACAAGAGATGTTACCAATATAATAAATGAGATTAAGCCATGGGAAATCCCTTTGAAGARGATTCAAATGATCTTTTAGTACTTGACATAGAAGCGGTGAAGACAGCAAAAGAGAAAGGAGAGTCGCAGTATACCACATATGTAGAAGAACGATTGAACAAGTGCTCAACGCCAATTACCGATGTCATCAAGAAAAACAACTTGCCACTCTTTGGTTCAAATGGAACTTCGTCAGGAAATACAAACACAAAAATGGCGTCTTTAAAAAGTGATTGCAATCTTTTTTAAAGACTCTACGTTGCTTGTCAAGCAAGACAGAGCAACCTAGAAGATTTTTTCAAGCATGAAAATGAAGTTATCAGCTCTAACAAAGATCTCAGCAAATTAAAGTATCTGTCCATGTAATTACGAAGAAGCAGATACTCGAATGKTTGTTCACGCAAAGCACGCCATTGCCTCCGGCAATAAAAGGATCAACATTCGAACTGTTGACACAGATGTAGTCGTGCTAGCAGTTGCAAACATTTCAAAGCTAGACCTTGATGAGCTTTTGATAGCCTTTGGTGTTGGATGACATTTACGATATCTCCCTGTCCACCAAATAACAAATACAAGATGAAATTTGCCAAGGTCTCCCTTTTTTTCTCTCCCTGACAGGATGTGAAGAGGAAAAAAGACCGCATGGAATGCATGGAAATCTATTTAACAGAAGCAGAAGCTTTCCGTCACCTATTAACACCTCAAAGTGACGTGTCAGACAAATAGTTCTCAATAATAGAAAGGTTTGTTATAATTTTGTACAGCCGCAAATGTCCTCTGRTTTCCATTAATGAAACTCCCCAGTCTCTTTTTGCCCAAGGAGCGCGAACAATCGAAAATATCCCACCGACAAAAGATGCTCTTCATCARCATWTCAAGARAGCGGCTTTTCAAGCCTGCCAAGTTTGGGGCCAAGCCCTTGATCCTTAACAGATCCTACCAAGTCTTTCTCAATGGGGCTGGACTGAGACTGAAGATGGTTGGATACCTATCTGGACCACGATATATCCAGCGGCCAGTGTTTGTAGTTTGATTAAATGCGGCTGTAAAAAAGCGTGCAGAGGATTGTGCAAATGTACAAAGGCTAATCTAATTGTAGCTTGTACAGCGCTTTGTAAGTGCAGTGGAAATTGCTTTCAAGACTGAAGGTCAGAAGAAAAAAARTTCTTTGTACCACAGGAATCCCAAGAAATGTTTACAAACATCATATCTAAATATTTTTAACTTTTTCACGCCTTAAAGCACTAAAAATGAACAATTTGGCATGAGAGAAATAGAATCTGATACTTTTCCATGAAAAAAATGCGATTTGAGTGCTTTTTTGTGAGTAAATACAAGCCCGCAATTTGGACCGCTGACCAGCTTTTTCTCGCCTTAAAATCTCCCTACACGGTTAAGAGCAAAAGTGGCTCTTAATCAAATATGAATCTACATATTTAAAGGTACATTTCCAGAAATTTGGTGCTTTTATCACTAATGTGAACAATCTGGCTCCTAATCCTCCAGACTACAAAGTGACATAACAAGAATTCAATTACACCGTATGAAGCGTCATATGCTCTGTAAAAAGAAATACCAAATTTAAACAAAATATGCTGGAAAAGAAGTCTGATTATTGAAGAGTTTTCCTCAATATTCATGGCCATAATTTTTTTGGGAAAATTGTACACGGGCTTATTTATTATTTAGATATTTTTAATTTAGTGTTATCATTTCAGCTTGTGTCTAAACCGGAGCAATTTGATGTGATGGTGCTACCAAACCTTTATGGTAGTATAGTTGACAACGTTGGTGCTGGACTGGTTGGTGGTGCTGGAGTAGTGCCTGGTGTCAGCATTGGAAGCCATTATGCTGTGTTTGAGCCTGTAAGTGACASATGAAATAAGCACAATTAATCTGTTCAGTCATGAATGTTTTAAAAGGTACAGGAGACGCAGTTTAAATCTTTTAAATTCTAAATAACCTTATTCAGTACTTATTTCTCCTGATTTCCTTCTAAAAAGAGAAAAAAAAAGACCCATAGTTACGGACTTCTTTGGCTTGACAACTGATCGCTAGACCGTAAAATATCCTAGATTTGCATATTCGCGCTATAATCACGACTTTGACCGTTGGTTTTGTTTTGGTTCGAAGCTCTACTGCAAGAAGTCGAGAAATGCGTTTTTTCACGGTTTTTCATCCTTTTTGCCTTTAGTCACTACTCTACGGACATCATTAAGTTTGTAGGTAGCGAAGGAGCTTACTGAAAGAATCCAGCTTGGTGTGTGACTTTTTAAGCGATTTTGCTTTCGCGGTTGATTCGATTAACATGGACCTTCGCTTAAARAGAATCACTTAAAAGACAGTCTAAAGGCAAATCCTTGAAGCTGCCACAGTAATTTTTGGATGTTTTGGCTATCGAGGAACACAAACGACTTGAAATTTTGGCAGAATTCCGAGAAGACTGTAGACTGGGGGGAAATGTTGCCGTCAGCGCGTCTAGTTTTTACCCAGAATTCCTTGCGCGCAAGAATCCGGTTAAAACACGTGTCCAAAGAGAAATCCGTAGCTTGAGATGTTTATGGAAAATGTGAAAAATAAAACTCTCAAATGACAGACGTAGGACTGAATTTTGGTTCAAACAGTAATTCGCTTGTTGAAATCTAGAATTTTGTAGTAAAAAARGAAACGAAATAGTGCTTTTTTCACTGTAGGCGAGAATAAGCGTCAAAACTGCCCTTTTTTCGCTTAGTTTTTGACTTCAAGTGTCGCTTAAATGGCTTTTCAATGTCAAAATGAGTAGCCCAGTCATCCATGCTATTGAAGTGATTTTATGCAAACTTCAAAGTTTGGACTCGGGGGGAGAAGCGGGAGTTTGTTTGCTTTACAAACTCAGATTTKAGAGCCTAACCCTTAGCTAACTTTAACACTACCCTACCCCTAACCCTAACCCTTCTAACCCTAACCCTAAATCAAGGAACCCTAGCCCCTATCTTAGGTTATAGGAACCCTAACCCTTGCATCAGGCTGGAACTAACCCTATACTAAAGTTTGGGGGAAGTCGACTTTTTTCCGCTTTTTAAAAGGAAATCACGAGAAATAACTAGCAAACATGATTATTTAGACCAGAAACAAATGATTGAAGCGATTTTTTGTCAATTTTTCGAAAATTTCAAAAATACCTTAAATCGTCACTTACGTAGTTTTCGAATCCGCCCCTTCAATTAATGACAGTAAAGGACAATATAAGTAAAAAATCAAAATAACAATGAGAGTTATTTCTAAGACYTTTGAGGTCTCAAAAMCAAAAGGTCTCTACGAAAGACAAATAAACATAATTCCATTTTAGAACTTTTGCAGGCTTGCGTCGCGCCTGATCAGCTACATGTAGTATACAAGGAAGCCAAGAGAGTCAAACTGGAAGACTCTTACCTCCATAATGCAAGTCTTAGTAAACAAATAGATAATATAAAAATTAGGTAAAACCTAATAGCGGAGCTCCAATATCAATATAGAAGCTGAAAATGATTATCTAGTACTGCTATTTCAAAGGTAGATGCTCTGTTCTAAGGAATATGAGCTACAACAGTTTTGTTGACATGCGAACAAATATTATAAAGAGTATGTTTATGAGAATTTAGTTTGTACTAATATTGACTTCGATAGATTTTGTTCCGTTGGATGAAGTTTAATATTATAATCTATAAAGGTCAATTGATTAAAAGTAAACTGAAAGCTTCTCGGCAAAAAGTAGTCTACATAAGCTTACAATAATCAGCATTGTTTCAATAATCGATGTTTGAACCCGACTACTCGAACTTCACATATCACAGAAAACTGTATAAAAAAATATATTTTTTACTTTCATTATCGAACTTCCGATAAATTATCGTTCAAAGGTCATATTCAACAGAGCCATACTTGTTTCATCAATTTATTAAGTCATTCAAGACTGTAGATTCTTTGTTTTTAATCTCTCTCAATCTAACTGCTAGCATGGTCTTGGTTTCGAAATGTCCACACTTTTAGTCGACAAAGAACTTCGCATAGATCCCTGCTTTTTCCCATATTGGTCCATATTATTGAAGTATTTCCAATAAAGTATCATCTCTTTCTTGTTGTCGAAATATCAAAGTAAAATCCTTTTTTTCTAAT